GAGACCAGGACAAAGGAATGCCATCCAGTGACCTGTAATCGACTCGAATCGATGTTCTTGCCCACTGATTGCTCAATCGCCCATTTCATTTGGGTTTAATTTTCGCCATCGTCTCTGCCAGAAAATTCAGAGCGATTCCCCGCGGGTTCAAACGCATTCAATTTGCCACACTGAAATTTGCAAGAGCTGAGGGCAATCCAATTAGCAAATTTCCAGTGCTCTCAGCATTTTTGCCTTCACCGTCATATTTTCATATCTGACTTTGGTTTAATTAATTCTGAAAATTCCAATTCAATCACCGGTCCCAAATTGAGGTCTCGTTGGAAGGTAGAACATTGATTTGATTATTGAGGCCCAAGATTGGATGGGTTTAAGTTTGTGGCTTATACTGAAACAGCTACTTATAAGAGGATTTAAGAAAACATATTTCATTTGCAATGGATTACATTTTATATGCATTTCTTTCAGTTTAGTTACAAATAATTCTTTTCATCTCAAAGTAATTTAGTTTCTGTTAAGGATTATTATTCAAATAAGTTCTTTTTATTTGCGCTGAGTGATTTTAATCAAGGAAAACTCATCGTCCTTAATCGATTCCACTTCATTTTGGGCATTGAAATATTGATTTAATCATTGAATTGTGGCCGCAAGCTGGTTTTATTTTGGGGATGCGACTTTGTGTGTTCCTCAAATAAAATAGAAGCAGATTCTATTAGTTTGACTGAATCTTTTGGCCCATTAAATGGCACATTGAGTAGGTTTTTGTGTGGGTGTCTTTCGGGCTGGCCAAGAGCGATGGTGTGGTTATCCGTCTTCGTCCTTTGGTCCTTTGTCCAACCCACTGACTGCCTCCTTTCTCTCTGGGTGTCTGCGGTTGTGTGTGCCAAATGCCAGGCCATTTGTTCCGAGCACATAAATCTTGGCAAATAATTGCTGTAAAGGCACGCATTCGCAAAGATTCTGGCCCAATCGATGGAGGGCCGCTTAAAATATGCGAGGCGAACTGCATTTTGGCTCTGCTCTTTAGATTCTGCACTTAGATTGCTCCCATCAGCAATCAATAAAGTTTAGCATGCAGCAAGTACAGGCAGCCATCTTTAACTCAAACACTATAAGTTTAGTTTTATATTTTTAAAAGTGAGTTTCCTGCTTAAACTTTTTTTCAGTTTACGAACTGCAGCCAAAGTAATCAATTTATGTAAATATTTATTCAATGCCTTTCTGTCACCATTTTTTGATGCATTCACTTTTTTGTTTACTTTGGCTCTGTGACACATTTCAAAGTGCCAATTAATATAGTAAATGTCGTTTTTCATTAGCCAAATTAAAAGTAGATCAATGTCAAATAAGAAATATACAAAAATGGTATGTAAATATGAAAAATGGATTTAAAAGCTTAAAGGTACAACAAACCATAGAAAATGAGAATTTTTTCAAAAGTGTTTTTGATTTCCCAATTAAAAAGCAATAAAAAAAGTCATTTTAAATTAGAAACCACTTTTCAAAAAAAAGTTTAAATGCTATGTTTAAAAAAGTTTTTTTAGGAATAAATAGGTCCTAAGTCTTCAGCTGCTAAAAATACTATTCGTTTTCGGCTGCAAAAGCTCTTTTTCCTTGTACTTTTACTTAGCTGGTAAAAATATCTTAGAGAAGTTCCCCTGTATTTGTATCTGCATCTGTATCTGTATCGGCGTTTACATCTGTATCTGAATCCGAGCCGAGTATCTATCTATCTATCCGGCTGGCGCTTAGCCAGAGTGCGTTCCGTTTTGGCGGCGTCTGTGGAGCTCGAGCCCACTTGGACTGGCGCTGTTTCTGTTTGCCCTCGTTCCGCCGGCTTTTCCATGTGGAAAGGCCCATTGTTTGGCTAAGCCATCTACATATGTATGCTGGGATGTTTGCCTGTGCATTGTTGTTACTGCAAATACTCGAACTACACACACGCACACTCACACAGAACACACAAACACACCCACGTGGCGCTCGGCACATGTGTGTCTTAGCCATTGTTTGCTGAATTTATTGCACGAATTTCTGAATTGGCTCTCTGCGACTGTTTGTAGTTTTATTTTCTTATTTTTACACCCCTAAGCGCGTGTCCTTGAGGCTTATGCTAAAACAATAGCTCTTCCTGGCCCCAAAAAGTATTTATTGGGCCAGTCGCCACGTATCCTGGATGTGGTGAAACTAAGGGATGTGTCAGCCATCATCCACCTGCCTTATGATTTATGCTTATGTCATGTTAATTAGCACGATTTCGGCCTGATTAGGGTTGCCTCCCCCTGCGTTGCGCATACGACACGTTGTCACAGGCGAAAATATTTAGTACAGCCGCCGGCAAAATGAACGCGGCGTACGTGCTACAGTGAATATTGGCTTGGGATAAATGTAAATTAAGGGATATTAACTTGGGAATAGGATGTGATTAATGTTAATTTATTTCGTGTTCAGCGGATAATCAGTCCCCCTTAGCCTACAAGAAATACTGTAATATTAGTCACCCTTTATAACCTTTTTTAATCTTTTTGGGTCACTTGGACCCATTTTTAAAATTCTCTAATATTTATTTATTCAATTTTATTGCAGACATATCTTTTAAATCCTACTCCAATCTCAAATACAAATTTAATTATGGAAAACCATCTTTAAAAAGTACGAAAAGCTAGGATAACATCTAATAAAGACATACTCGTATGCCTCATAAAAAACTTTATTGACAAGAAATTTTTAATTTAGTTTGTGAGTTGCCCCAGTTGATATTATGTGTACAGTGAACTCTGTGTCTGACGAGCGTCAAACAAAGGCGTTGCGAGAACAAAGAAGTGCCATGACATGAACTTCAATTTGATATCATTACTCCAGTAATTAGTAATTAGTGAGAAAATTGAACTTGTACAATAAACTAGACTAAAGTGCAGGCCACGATGAGGGAACTTTCACTGTACCCACGAAAGTTGAAACGACATCCGGTGCGGCAGATGCTGTTGTTGTTGCAGATGTTATGGTTGTAATTTCCTTGTTCGTGGTTGCCTTTCATGTGACAGGCATTTGTCCCATCAACATCAACATCACCATGTCCCAATCCCCCTTTGTCATCCTCTTAAGACCCCGAGTCCCGAGTTCCCCTCGCTTGTCACAGCTTTTGGAGGGCTGAAAGGCAGTCACATGGAATATATTGCGTATACGCCGTGTAATGAATACTCATCGTCCAATTGACAACGCATGAATTTATGAAAAACGAAAAACAATTCCTCGTTTTGCAAGTGGTGAACGAGGCAGATATGTTGGCATAAATATGCAACATGTTTCCCGTACATCATTTACGCCCCAGTGCGTCACGCGTTTACGAGTTTCTCCTCCTCGCAGGACATATCCGCCATCGTAATCGCATGGGAAAACCGAAACCGAGGCCAAAACAGGCTTAAACCGATGAAATCGTGTTGCGAGCGAGCATAAATTGCAAGAAAATACGGATTTTCACTGTCAGCCTGGCTGGAAAATCCTGGCATAGTTCCTCCTCTGGGTGCCCGAAAGCATTTATTCTCAAATCAGCACCAAAGCTGGCTCATTTGGCTTGTAACCAAGGCCCAAAACAAAGGCATTTGCCTGTCAAGGACTACTCTCATGAGTGTATGTTTCCATAAACAATTGCGATTAGCCCTTCATTTTTTGGCAAATCTTTATAAATAGAGCTGCGGACATTTTTACACATTTGTTCAGGGTTCAGGGTTTTTCAATTTAAGCCTTGATTGATCCAAAAATAAATCTTATAAATAGAACTGCGGACATTTTATACTTTAGGGTTTCAATTTATGGCTGGTTTCCTAGAATACTGCGACAATATAATGACAACATTTCTTTTTCTTTCGTCTTTAATATAACAATGCACTACCTCAACCATAACCCTGATTTTATATACAAGTACATGTTCTATATATACATAAATAGCCTGAGACAATAGACTTTTCTTGTCAAGGTCTATTTGTACGTAGACAAATTCCTAAAAATACTTGCGGTTGGCATTCTTTTGACAAATCTTTATAAATAGATGTGTGTACGTTTTAAGACTTTAAGAGCGAACAAGCTTCATTGTAAATGGATGGTTATTAATGTTAGGTAGCAGTGTTTATTCAGGCCAAATTGCGGTTTCGGTTGCACTGCAGTTTATTATTTTACCATATAACATTTCATCTTGATCCTAAAATAATTGTGGTTAGCTCTAGAAGTATATTGTTAAGCCCTGAATAACAGGAGAGTTCTTAGGTTAAGCCGTCACTCAACTTGAATGGTAATAATGCTGAGAAGTCTGTTTATTTTGGGCAATAGAATGTGGTCTAAGGTTGCATAGTTAGCATGCATGTTTTGATCAGATATGCAGACGAATGCCACTTTTTGGCCACAATCGCTGACTAAACAAGCACCACTTGTCGCCTGAACATGCGTTGCATGTTCTAAAATACATGATTTATTCAACGGTTGGTCATGTCCTGCGCAACCACAGCACACAAATCATTGTCATGCAATTAAATAATATAATGGAGAATGATTTTAATTAAACGCTGCAATATTTTCGGCACAACAATGGATTTAGACCGTCCATATCCGTTGGCCGGTTGATTGGTGGCTGTGGGTGCGCCTAATCCAATTAACTGTCATAGACACACAAATTGGCCGTCACTCAATTTCGGTGTGAGCAGTGCCAAAAGGCCAAAACGCCGCCCACAGGCTGTGACAGTTTTCGTCCTGTCCGGGCTATTTTGACCCCAAAAGGACGGCTTGGGTGGAGCCGAGAGTGTGTGTCAGTTTTGGTTTCAGTTACAGACTTTTGGTGGCACTTTCGGAAATTGTTTCAACAACGGTTTGTAATTTCACACGCCGCAAAGTGATTAGCCCGGCTTTTGTCCCCCTGATTGAATCCCCCAGCTGAAAACTACCCAACACCGAACAGCAAACACCAAACCAACTAACCCAAAATCATTTTCCGTTTCTTCCTCTTGCAGTGACAGACTTTGATGTGAACCGGAAACGAGGGTAAAGGCTAAAAAAGCAAAGGGAAGCAAAATAAAAAAAAACTGAAACAGGAACAGAGGAGCCAGGCCAACAGTGTGCAAATTGATATAGTCGGAGCAGCATGGATGAGGAGCACGACGACGATCGAATAATATGAGATTAGATGGGGCTCTAGAGCCCCGGCCCCGTCAAGGAGCTGCCATCTTCAAGGGCCGCGAACCATGTGAGACACAGCAACAGCAGCCAGCTGATGAAGACGACGAGGCCACAGACGCTGAGTGTTTGACCACCAACCACAGCATCAGCAGCAAAATTGCCAAGTCAACTTGGTCCTCAAACCAGAGAGAAAACATCAACAACGCCCACGTCCACGCCACGCCCAGAAAAACAACTGGAGGCAGAGGAAAAGGCACACCACCACACCGCTGCCGTGAAAGCGCGTACCATATTAATGGCGCCCAACGTGGGGCATCAGCGGAAGAGCCTTGGCCTTCGACTTCCGATGAAGCCGGGCGCAGGATGATGGGATCGGGCTGGGATGGCCTTAACGGCCTGGTCCTGTGCCTGATTTCCGTTATTGCCCTGCTGCCGCCGCTGACGCTCGGCGATGACGGCGACAATTTCTTTGCCGTGAATGCCTTTAGCGCGGGTCCGGAGACGACAACGCCAGAGTTTGGTAAGTAGTAGTCCAAGGCCCAGATAAGAATGCTGCACCAGACCAGGCAGCGGGATTATGATGGGCTTAGCCCCGCTTAAGTATGCGATTTGGACCGCAAAATGGCGTCATCGAGGTGTCATATGTACATTTATAAAGCGACTGCCTTGACAGTCTTTTGTTCATCTAACTGGTGGCAATTCCGGTGCAATTGCATAAGTTATACAGTGGCTTCGAATTCAGCAAGTTTAGATAAATGCTGCATTTTATTGCCTGTGTTATGTGATATTTAATGGGAACTTTAAATCGTTTGGCTTTGACTTTCAAAATTATGCCACTCTTGATATGGCATATCTAAATTATAACTGTATTTGAATAATTATAGGATTTACCAAAAAAAATTCTTTCCTTAGGCTTAAGAATTTGTATAATCCCATTCTTGGAAGCTGCCTGCCTTAAGAGATTTTTTACCTTCATACAGGCAAAGAATTTCTTTATATAATTTCTTGCCTTGCAAAGCCCATTTGCTGAAAGCTTTTAAGACACTGTACCTCAGTTCATGCCTCGTACTCATTCCTCTGAGCGTTAGAGTAGTTTTCTCATCCGAAACTTAAATGGCCTGTCTGCAATGTGCTCTAGTCAGAATGTGAAAAGTTTTCCATGTACTCGCATGTGTTTCCTTTTTTTTCTAGAAAACTAGTTGAGGAGGCCTAATGATATGGCGAAATAAGCAAAGTTGGCTTTAATGGCACGGCCCAGTTCGGTTAATTATAAATGCCGGCTCTGTTTAATATGGGCCCTCGGCTACTCGCCTGACATGTGCAATTTGTAGTCAGATTTTAGGCCCTTCCTCTGGCTCTGGCCATTGGGTAATCGCTTTTTGGTAGGGCCATAGTTGAAAGGCCATCAAAGGTTGGCCTCGGGTCACGGACATGGTCCACGCCAGAGCCCAGAACCCCCAGGCAGCCACTTTGTCAACACTTTCACAGAATTTCCTCGCTGGTGGTGCAGCGCCACGGAAACCGAAACCAAATAAAACTCATCTGGTGGAAAAAAACGTAAGCAAAGCTTTGTGCTGCGGCAGCTGGGTTTCCTCTTGGCAGACTGCAACTGGAGGGTACGACGAGGTCCATTGATGTGGGTTCGCTCTTAATGCATAAGTAATAGCTGCAGGTGGGTTAACCCAAATAAATCAGTTTTATGACCTTCCCACAACTAAAAACTTTAAAGTAAAGAGATATTTCCAAAGATTTATGGCAGATTTCTTAAAGTAATGTTAAATTTTGTCATTAAGAAATAGCTGTTTCGGAAAACAGACTCTTTGAAGATTTGTAGTTCTTTTAAGATCAGATTGAGAAAGCAAATTGTCTTTCCAAACAAATAACTTCCAGTTAACTTTCTCTGATAGATAACAAACCAACCTTTATATTCAAGTCAATCAATGTGTCCTCATAATTATAATTCTTATTTAACTACAGATTGCTAACATGTCTTGAAGAACCCCACTTATCATATGGTATAATTATAGACATGACTGCACTTGAGATACGAACGTTATTTCCAGTTGGGTATCCGGCGGTCTAGCATTTCTGCAAAGCCAACCATTATTCGCATTAGCATTCATTTTTCGCAGCCCCTCACAAACTAGAACCCTATTCATAGCCGGTGCATTTAAAAATAAACCGCAAGCAAATAGACCCAGCCCCATACCAGCCATAAGATGCCCACTAATACCACTAATGCTGGCACATGGGCATGAACTGGAAAATAGAAAATGGAAAATGGCGCACCCGTTTGTGCATGAGCAGCCATTTTGTTTTGTCTTTTCACTTCCGTTGGCTTAAATGTCGGCGCATCCGCTGCTTTATGTTCTTGGTCTTGGCTTTGGCTTTTGGGCCCGGTAATTATGGGCCGGAGTATATCAACAGAATTAGAGGTGGAATATAGAGGCTTAACCCTGGCAGAGATTTTTCGCCAGGCGGGGAAACCCCCGGAATCCCCGGAATCCGCGGAATCCGGAGAGTTGCTCCCAAGAGCTTAATTAAGATGTGAAGGGCCGCAAAACGCAACTCACTGCCGACTCGAGTGTTTTCATTCCATTCAAAGTTAATGAAGGATTCGTAGCCGGCCGGGCTCAAGTGCACCGAAGTATGTATGCTCGGGGGAGAAAGCAAACACACGTGTGAAAAACAAAAAACAAAAAAAAAAGTGAAAAATAAAAACAAGAAAAAAAGAAACCAGCCCACACACAGAAACACCTCGAAGGCTGCTAAAGAATTTACATTTTAATCTGCCCCCAAAGTCGTTGGGGGATTTGGAAAACATTTCCCAGAAAGTTTGTGTGGCAGACTTTATTTTTTATTGATATGTATGCACAGTGGCGTATCGAAAGTTTTATTTTTTAGCAGCGTTTCATTACAAATTTTACACTTGGGATTAGTCACGTTGACGTAAGAGTAAGCCATATCCTTTTTACTGTGTTTTTTTTCTCTGATAGATTATGCCAGCCGCGGGCAAAAGAAGTTCGGCGACAAGTGCGATAATACTTTGGAATGCGGCTTCCCCGGCTCCATTTGCGATCCCAAGAAGAAGTCCTGCCAGTGCACCGAGGATCTGCCCGTCACCAATCACATTGACAAATGTGGCAAAGGTAAGGTCATTACTGCTAACAGTCCCACCCATATTATTTTTTCTGTTTTTCCCTGCTGTCAACCTGCCAAGTTTTCATTAAAAACGAGTCAAGAAAGCTGCTGTGGCAGCAAAGTGAAATTGTCTTGATTGCGGGGCATGGCATTCAGAAATTCTGTAAATTAAAATAGAAACTTGGCAGCAGGAGGGCGGTAAAAAACTGCAACTAATGCACATTGTCATAATTATAATTGATATTCCCACCTGGTACCTTGTAAATTAAAATCAAATCGCGGGACATTCGGAATGCGTATTTATGATGGGGATCGTACCGAAAAGCCACTGACAGCCGAAGAGCTATTTTTATTGGCGTGACTAAAGTGTGATTCCTGGCCAAATATCTCCCGGCCATTGATCATTAACGTGGCTGACAGCCAGTCAGTCAGAAGTCGCAGAAGTATCTGCCTCCCGCATCATGGTCGTAATCCCCTACGACCGGTGCAGTGTCTCCGGGTCTCAGAGAAGCCCTCCTCCTCGGCTGTTCCCCGATAATATTTGTCAGAGGAGTGGCCGGAGCAAGTGGAAAGTCAATCCGCCCGGCCATCATATCGCACTTCAATCAGCCATTAAATCAATCCGCAAACAGCCGCGACAGCCGAGGAAATATTTCCTGATATGGTCGCTTTCGCCTGTTGTTGCTTGTTTACGGGTCACTGAAAGAAAAAGTTTTAACTTGGAAATGTAAAAATTTAAATAGATTTTAGTAAGCTGCAAAAAAATTATTAGATTTTCTGTTTTACAAATTTAAGTGACAGAATTTATTTAAGAAAGCATAACAAACCAGAGATAATAGAGTCTTCAGCTTGATATATAGGTTGATATAATCAAGGTGATATTGATCAAGTTTCATAATGGCCAGAGGCGTTGTAAGAAAGTTCTCAGATGAAATTAAAATGGGAGAGATTATTTAATCACCAATATTACATATTTTAGATGTCGAAACTAAACAGTAATTAAAATATCCAGGAGTTTTAAGATCTCATATTTGTCAACTCGAATTTAAGTTATGATGTTTTCAAAGAAAGTAACTCGATGTATTACATTTTTTGACATCCATCTTACATAAGAAAGTTGAAATAATCAATTTACGGTGCTAGTTATATTACATATATTTCTTTTTATTATTAGTTAGTTGATGATATGCTTAAGCCATAAAATACTTATGTCAAGTAAAATGTAAATTATTGTTTTGAGAATTCCATAAACCTTAACCCTTTAATTTGGTACATATTTTTCGCTGACTGTATAAATCTTGACCATTTGTCAACTGAACTGATTCCTTATGGTGTCCTCTTTCTCCATCTTTTTCATATCATCGACCCACAGAGGCCGCCGTGAACGAGTCCTGCTTCTTCAACGAGCAGTGCGAGATGCGATACTTCCAGACGGAGTGCCGGGATGGGCGCTGCATCTGCCGGTTCGAGATGTCGCCCTTTTGGGACAAGGACGGGTCCGTGGAGTGCAAAGGTCGGTGGTCGAGTAGCGAGTAGACATTAAGCCGGCACTGCTTATGGTTAATGGGGCTGTGTTGTTTGTCCTTTTGCCATTTCGGCCATTTTACAGGGCGCCAGGACAAGAGGGGACCCGAGACCTACATCGATCCGGCCATGATTGGCGTGCTGGTAGGAATGGCATTGATGTTTGTTATTATTTGTGTCGTCCTGCGATTGTTTAGCCAGTGAGTAAATTGCAATGCAAACATCTTCATCGCCCCCACAATCACACAACACCCACGCCCACGCAAATAGTCTAAGCTTCAAATCTGGGTTAACAGTCATACACCATTTACAATATTGTATCGCTTGAGTGCACACATAATGGATTGTTGTTTGTTAATATTCGAAGGGATTGGTTGAGATTACTACCTTACCAAATTATGATATATTTTTGAGTTATAAGTCTGTTAGAAACTAAACGTTTCAAGGTTTTCTCGATAGCCTAAAAATTTATTATTAAATACTTATATATTCTACTTTCAAATTCCAAAGAACACTTTAAAATATTTTCATTCCTTTATATTTTCTGTAGAATACTATCACATCTTGAGATCTTCTGTGGCTAACATTTGCTATAAAAATCAAAATCAAAGACCCTTAGTCAACCAGCTCATCCGTTAGCTTGTCAATAAACTGGGTCAATTGGCCTGTCGATGCTTTGATGGGGCTTCATTAATTTGTGGTTGGCAAGCAATACAAAATTCGAGCACCAATTAATTTCCAGTCTAATAAACAGCATTTCTGCATTAATTGGCATTAAGTTGGAGTAACCATGGCCCCCAAAAATATATCTTGGCACAGTTACACCCCCGCTTGCTTGGCCCCGCATAAACCGGATGATAATCCGAGGAGCCATGAAATTTAACTAATTCCTGACCGTAATTTGCAGAGCCCGCTGGCGTGAGAACCGGACCATCTTCAATACGCCCAATCCTCGTCTGATGAACGTCTCCCTGCTGCGGGATAGCAAATTGCTCCATGGCCAGGAGCGGCGAGGATCCAGGATGTCGGTGCGGGCCCCATCCCGACAGCCCAGCATGGCCTCCCTGAGGCCCCACTCCCCCAATCCGTCGCTAGGTAAGACAGGTTTGTATTCCATGCCCCCCCCGTCGATGGTCAGGCTCCTCCTCCTCCAGTCTCTGGTTTCTGGTCTCTGGTCTTCCGCGATTGCATTTTTCGGTTCTACTCGGTTTTTTCCATTTCTACTTCCCATTTTTCGATTCGTTTTCCTTATTTTCGACTCGTCAACTTGCAGAACTTTCTTTTTACAGCCAAAAACTATACGAACAGAAAGAGAGACCCCTTACTAATCCAACCAATCAATCAGTCAGTCAGTCAGCCAATTGATCAGTCAATCACCAAACAAAAAAACTACAAAATCACCCTTCCAACTAAACTTAAGTCACCAGTGGGTGTGGATGTACGCGAAAAACGTGACGGGAGTGTGAAAAAGAAAAAGGGCGAAACCCAATGATATTCGTTATTAAAGAACTTGTTATCTAGCTATCAATGGAACAGTGATAGATATTTCTCTAGGAGTACACTAACAAGTATAAAGGGTTTATCATTTTTATACCCGTTACTCGTAGAGTAAAAGGGTATACTAGATTCGTCGGAAAGTATGTAACAGGCAGAAGGAAGCGTTTCCGACCCCACAAAGTATATATATTCTTGATCAGGATCACTAGCCGAGTCGATCTAGCCATGTCCGTCTGTCCGTCTGTCCGACTGTCCGTCTGTCCGTCTGTCCGTCTGTCTGTCCGTCCGGATGAACGCTGAGATCTCGGAAACTATGGGAGCTAGGCTATTGAGATTTAGCGTGCAGATTCCTGAGCTTCTTACGCAGCGCAAGTTTGTTTCGGCACAGTGCCACGCCCACTCTAACGCCCACAAACCGCCCAAAACTGTGGCTCCTACAGTTTTGGTGCTAGAATAAAAATTTTAACTGAAATGTATTGTTCTCATCAACACCAATCGATTGACCCAAAAAAAAGTTTGCCACGCCCACTTTAACGCCCACAAACCGCGAAAGCCTGTGACGCCCACAATTTTCATGCTAGATAAAAAATTTTAACTGAAATGTATTGGTCTCGTCGATACCTATCGATTGATCCAAAAAAAAATATGCCACGCCCACTCTAACGCCCATAACGCTTAAATCTGTATACCGCCGGTAGGTGGCGTATTTTAATCTCGCTTTGCTGCTTGCATATCTCCATATAGCTGAGTAACGGGTATCTGATAGTCGAGGTACTCGACTATAGCGTTCTTCCTTGTTCATATTTGAATCATTCCTTTTTTACGTGTAGGGGTTTAAGGATAGTATTTTAAGAAGTTTGACTTAGGGAAAACACAAAACTAAAGATACCTTCAGCATGCAAATAATACATTTGAAAACCCTAGAATGGTATGGTACACTTTTGCCTGCTTTCCAAGTAAACTATTTTGACTTATAAACTGATATCATAATAAGTTAATATACAAATAATAAATTTTAATATAAAACTTTGGAAATCCCATATCAACCGATTTAACAATGATGATAACTTTTCATTTAAAATGATAAATATTTGTCGGACTAAAAAATATAAAAAAGGATTATTTAAACTCAGTTATTTTAATTTAAGATATATGGAGTTATAAAATTCTGAAACAGAAAACGTAAGTTTTTTCCCTTTAAGTATTTTTTCTTTTAACCCACAACTAGTGCGCTGGGCTGCATAGTGACGACTATCTGGCCAAATTCGCCACCTTATCCCGAACTCGACTAAAGACTGGTGAAACAGGAACAACAACTCTTCAGGGGGGCTCAATCAAATTGACAGACAGTTTAAGAACCGTTTTACTCGACGCCATTACGGTGATAATTGTTGGTGTGCTAAGCCCAGCGGACAGTTGTTTGAAATTACCTTTTTTGGGTTATTTATATTCTTATTTGAGTTTTGCGCCCCCAACAACCCACCAAAACCACCCCCGAAACCACCCAATTAACCCACTGACTCGATGTCGCGTGCCCAACTAAAGGCGAAATATTAAACGTATCCAACCGCTCATTCCCCCCAAAACAAACAAAACAAACACGAAACAAACTGAAACTGAAAACACAAATAAAACTGAAACCCGAACATCGAACACCAACAAAAAAAGGACGTATGATCCGCTCGAAGAGCAACACACGGTCGAGTGATTCGCGGGTGAGCGATGTGTCCACCTGCTCGAGACTCCTGGAGCATCCGAGTGCCGCCAGCCAGCACAACCTGGTCCATAGCCACTTTCTGCCCTACGTGCCAACGACCACGGCCAGCACACATACGGCCACGAATGCCACCGCAACGTACGCTGCCTCGGCCACGCCCTCGCCCACGCCCACGCCCCCGCCCTCGGCGGGTCACCAGCCACCGGCCAATGCCACCAATGTCACCAGCACCACACCACCACGTATGTGTCCTCAGCGGGGGCGCCACCAGCCTGTGGTCGGACCAACAAGTTCTAGAGCTCTAGAGTTCTGCAGTTCCAGAGCTTTAGATCGCCCCGATATACCTACATATAGATACTCGAGCATATCTGTGTATGTCCGCAAACGTATCACACTCAAAAACGCTAAAAACAAACGCATCCATATCAGGGTCCAAAGAGGTAGGCAGACCTGAAAGCAATCCCACACCCAAAACCACTCCCACTTCCCAAAAGACCCACCCAAATCGTTGACAGTCTGCGTAGTGTACTCGTAAAGTTGATGTCTTGTCTAGCGAAAGTTATGTCCAAACAGTTGTAATCGTAGACTCTGGGAAATTACGTTCACTGAAATCGAAAGTATCTTAGTCTTAAGCTACAATTAAATATATTGAAACACAAGCTTATTTTAACATTATTCTTATAATGCCCAACAGGTTCTGTCCAATATTAAAACAGTATCAAATTAAGCTACTTACTCAAATGTTCCTTGATCTCAACGGTTTTTTAATAACTAAATTGTTGTTTTTTCTTTTTCCGTAACTATACCTGATTTCAGAGCGTCTTTTTCCCAGTGTACTCGTAGTCGTTGTTCTCGTTGTTGTTCTTGTTGGCTCGAAGTGTTGTTACCCTAGTCTTAACTTGTAGTCGAGAGTTGCGGTTAACCTGTATGTACTACTTCTACTCCAACTACCAACACCCAGTACTAAACTTCTTAGAAGACACCCAAATATACAAAAGCAGACACAGATGCAGACACAATCCTCTACAGATACAAAGATATACGATCGTAGATACTCGTACCAAAACCAAACCAAACTTCATCGAATCTTTCTCTCTCTTTCTAACCTACTCTGATCCATTGCAGCATCCCTTTTGAGTTCCATTTCCGCTTTAGTTTATTTCCTTTCTAGCACGGCTACCTATCTATAGTTTCCTTAACTGGCTTCGTTAAGATATATATAATTTGTAAGTACAGCAAGCGATCTAAGGGGTCCTTAGGTGATTAAATCTTTAATATAAAACCATATATATACTTAGTATGGTGAACTCCTTCGATCGACTGCTGTAAATAGAACTTTCCACGTAGAAAAAAAAGGGGACTCGAAGATATCCAGTGGTTTACCCCACTCGAAGTCGGGATCCCGTTGACCACATTGCTGTTGTCCTGTGATGCCAACGATAACTTCCCTTCAACCGGTTATCTGAGTAGCGAGTAGCTGAGACCGTTCTTCCCCAGATACTTATCCCCATTTCTTTTGGATCAAACCAATCCAATATCCCCCACAGGATCCCATTCGGAGTCGCATGGCAGCAATGCATCGGCCGCCTCGGTTCGCTCCCAGCGCAGCAACTCGGTGGCTCCCCAGGAAAGGTTGGCCACCATGAGCGCCACGGATCCGCCCATCGCCAGCACCACCCACATGGACACCAGCCGAAGGAGCAGCCCCAGTCGCCGCAGGATCAGTCGCTGATCACCAACATCACCACAAATCCGGTGGCCGAGAGCGTGACCGTGGAGATTATCGAGCCGGGACAGAAATAAAGATGAGCACGTCAGCACAGGATCGGAAATTTAAAGTATATATAGAGCAAGATGGCATAGGCGAGATTAACTGGCTAACTCTCTGACACACGAACACTGGACACGAAATGCAAATAGAAACATATAGTCACGATATATGCACGCGATAATAAGGCGGGTCCGCTCCCAAAAGGGGCGTGGCTCCGGCAACCAACACAGAAAACAAAAAAAAAATCAAATACACATGAGGCCATTGTTCGACTCTTTTTGACAAAGACAATTTTTGCAATTAATGGAAATTTTTTAAACAAACCAATTATATATACTTATTATATAAATAGGGAGCATATGAAAAAACGAACACTCACATACACCCAGAACAATGCTAAATGAATTACTTACGTACGACTACACCGTAAAAAATAATTGAAAAAAAAACCTTGCATAACAAATTCATACTACTCTTTTTTTCAACCAAAAAAAAAACAAACAAACAAAGAAAAACGAAAAAACCGAAAGAGGAAAACTTTATTAATTTAAAATAACATATTGTAATGCAGTTATATAACTAAGCTTTGGGTTAAAGGCTTTAAGGATTCAAAAAGAAATCACACAGCGTAGAGGAAACCTAGGGCATGATCTCAATCTTAGTGTTCTATAGCCAGCCATCGGAGGCACTGCATCGTGGCCAAAGATGCGACAAATTGGCAGAAACCAAATGTAAACCGCTGATACAACGCCTTATCTATACTTATATTATAGATCCAATTGCCGCTCTAGCTCCCACATACGGATGTTATAACCCAGAAACGACGACAAACCAAGATGAAGAAAATATTTAACAACCTCGGGACCATATTTTATAATCAAAATATGCGTTTCATTGCGAAGCACGCACGTTCACATTATTCTCGTTTTCGTTTTGGTATTATATCTTTGCGTTCTCGAACAGTTGTAGGTTCGGATGTAGGGGATACTGAAAAGGAGTACCTATATTTTTTAACAACTAGCTGAGCAAATTTTAGGGAACACTCACAACATGATATTAAGGATAATGATTATACAAGCTCGCCAAGAGTCCAAAATCTAAATTGACTTCCAGTTGAACGATATGATTTGAAATTTCAGTTCGAAGCAACGTAGATTTTTCAGTTCGACAGCCTTTACAATCTCACACTGCACTTTGCAGATCGGGGCTGAGGATTTTCGGGCAGTGCATTGGGCTAGCCGGGAATAGGGGAAGATTTCCGGGTCTGTCCAATGCGAAGGTCGAATTATAATCGGACAACGGATCTCCAGGTTATAGCCGTAGTAGGAATAGAAAACGATATTGATAAGGTTTAGTTGTTGCCCCCCAAACAGACGATTCTCATTTGCTTTTGTGCTCAATCAAAGAAGCTTAACTGTGAGAATACCAAATGAATACATGATACAAAAATAAACGTAGAGCAAAAAAATCTTAAAGTAGCTTGAGAACTTCTAGCTAAAAATTACAACTAGAGTAACAAAATGAGAAAATTTAAAAAAAAAACGAAAACAATTTTATTAAAGCATCGAATTTTTCTTAAAAAACAAAATGAGCAAACAAACAATCTTATTTCTAGGACAACCAAATCTAGTTACTTATTTACATACATTCTAAAGGGCATTCAAGAAAACAATTTAGGCTTTGGAATTTGGGGAAGAATTTCAAGGTTTAACTTTGTTTTTACCAACCGCAAAAGCAAAACACTTACATATAAGCACAAAAGATTTAGAGTATATTACAACTAATTATAAAAGAGAATACAAAATAATGAATCACTGATTTTTCTATTTACATCAAATATTGTTGAAGGCAGACTTTAAGCGAATTTTAAATAAGCTAAACCAATGATGAGCATAAGAAGAGAATATTTTAAAACCAATTATATACATACATGAATATGCTTTATTTACTTTAATATTTACATTATACACAACAACTACATACAACTATTATATGAACTTGTATTAAAGTTTCGTGAAAAAACTGCTACCAAACCGAATGCGATAAATTCATTTACACTCTACCAAAGGAAAACAAAAATTTTATATATGAAGCGAACTCTTGTAATGCTAATATTATACATCTAGAATCAAATGCCATTATCGCACATCTAAGCCATACAACAAGAACAAAAAACTAAAGTAATGAAGGGACAAACCTAAGTCTTTAAGCCTAGAAGAGAAGCAACTTATAGAGTTCAACATTTCGATTTTTCATGTGACTTGTAACTACAAAGAAACCAAAAAGGAAACTAGAAAGGATCGTAGTTATAGAGAGCGAATCAAAGCCAGACAGTACGAGTAGCAAAATATAGACGATGGTAATGTAATCTTAACCTACAAGATAAATTGCTTTTTTCAAATTCAAGAAGGCAAACGAAAACGATCGAGTTGAAACAACTAAGTACGAGTATATTATGAAGTACATATTAAATATATACATATATAACTATATTTAAAGATCAGTTCACTATAATAAAGTCTATATTACCATACCTAACAGAACGGCAAGCCCTCTACCCAGGTGTACGAATTAATTTCCCCCCCGCAGTCTTTCACAGGGTCGTCCCCTTGTACCCCACCTCGAGCACGGAACCCTGATCCTCCGATTTCCTCCCCAGCACCCGTTTCCTGTAGCTCTGCTCCGCCAGGTGCCTCAGGTGCTGGGCGGTTCCCACGCCGGTCTTCTCCACGAATCGATGCAGATACCCGTGCCTGTTGTGCAGCAGCTCGTGAGGATGCCCCAGCTCCACCACCCTGCCCATGTCCACCACCATCACCCGGTCGTTATCCATCACGGTGTGCAGTCGATGGGCAATGGTCAGCACGGTGCAGTGGGCGAACTTGGTGTGGATCGCCTCCTGGATGAGATTGTCCGTCCTGCGGAGGGAGAGGGAGTTACTATAGTTAGTTTCCATTTTAAATTAAATTCTAATTGGATTATTAGATGAACAGAACATAATGATAAGTAAGTACTTGGGAAAGATGTTGCAGATTCATAAATCTTTGGGTGGAATACATACCTAACGAAATACAACTCTTAACATTTAACTACATTTTTAAATATTAAGGAACTTAGTCTCAAACTAATCAGAAGAAGGCTTTTAGCTGTCAAGATGGTAAACAATATATATTTTTTCACGCCGTTTTGCAAAGCAAAAATTTTTGTTTTCATTGACAAATTATAACCTTGGGAGTTACTCAATCAATCACATTTTGCGTTCTCCCTTAACTTTTTTTGTCAGTCAGTTGATTTTCTGCTCTAGAATGACCCGGTATTAAATAGTGCTTTGTTGTTGTATATAAATGTACTATGTATTGCAATTTAAATACCATCTGGAATATTATTTCCCCATATTACTTATTGGCCATTAAAAATGATTGGGATTGTAACATTACACTTTTCGAATACTTACTCGGGATCCACGTTGGCCGTGGCCTCGTCCATGATGAGTATTTTGTTCTGGCGCAGGAGGGCTCTGGCCAGGCAGACCAGCTGCCTCTGGCCCATGCTGAAGTTGGCCCCGCAGTCGTGGAGCCGGCAGTTGATGCCCTCCTTCAGATTCGACACGAACTCCTTGAGCTTGACAGCCTCCAGGGCCAGCCAGAGTTCCTCGTCCGTCTTCTCCTCGAAGGGATCGAGGTTGAAGCGGAGAGTTCCTGAGAAAAGTACCGGATCTTGCGGTATGATCGAGATTCGCCGCCTTAGATCGTGTAGCCCCAATCGGCTGTGTCATATCCATCGATACAAATATGTCCATCGATGTTGGCCAACCGGAAGAGGGCCTGCACAATGGATGATTTTCCAGCCGCCGTGTGACCCACAATGCCAATCTTCTCCTCCCCACGTATGGTGAAGTTGAGTCCCTTCAGATATAGGGACCATGAGCGCTGTAGCGCAGCCGAAGATCCCGGAAATCCAGCTGCCACCACTGGGCCACTGATTGGGCAGATTAACCGACTCGTCGGTTTCGTAGGCAGGTTCCGAGGGTATATTCACATACTCCATCACCCGCTCCACACTGGTCATCATGTTCTCCAGCTCCACCGTTTGCCGCATTCCCGCCTGGCACATCAAAACCAGTTTCATGGACTGGGTGATGGCCAGACCAACGTCACCACTATAGTATCCCCTGTGCTTGTCGAAAAGCAGGAAGCTAAAGGTCACCGCCAGGATGTAGAGCACACAGATGAGATCCGTCCAGAAGGCAAAGGCCCTGTTGATGCTGACATGGAGATACAAAGCAGAGGTGTTCTCATTCTGGTAGTAATGGAAGTCCGCTCCATATACTTGGTGCCATTCATAGCACGGATGGTGGCCAGGCCCTTGAAGGTGGTATTCGTATGCGAGTAGATGGGACTGCGAGCTGGAGGGGATTGGTTAGTCGTTAGGAGTTCAATATATGTACAAGCCACTCACATATGGTCTCTATCCGCTTGAGACTCCGGCTAGCTCCTATATAGAGACATCGACATCCGTACAGCAGGGATACCACTATGAATGCCGGGATGAGAAGCCAAGTGTTGCCGTGCTGACCACCGCGAGCACAGCAAAGGCATTCACAGCAAACTCAATGGAGTCCATGAGAGCCTGCGGCAGATTCACATCGATGGCCAGGATGTCACTGGAAAGCGGTTCAAAATCCTTCCCGAGGTGGCCAGCGTGAAGAAATACATGAAGGCGCGGATGACCCCTTGGAAGAGTTGGTCATGAATGCGCAGCGAAATCCGCAGGGTCATCGCAAAGAAGCCAAAGGTGCGGATCACATAGAAGGTGAGGGTGCACAGGATCAGGAATGTGTATAAAATCATCATGTGAAAACGAGTTTATGATACTCCGGAATCGGTTCATGCAGATTGGGTTCCGTTTCCTCCCAAGTTGCCCTGTAAAATATGAATTGGAAAAGAAACCATTATAAACTTAAGAGAATTAAATGCTTATTTTTTATCAACAAATAATCTAGGGTATTCCTTAAAAAATTCCACTTGAAAACGAAATCAGTTTGGGCGTTTGCAAAACCATGACTCTCTATTTTAACCTTCTGATACTGGTATAACCATATAACATGTGGCATCGAGATAGTGAAATGTGCTCCATCTGTCCGGAAATGCGGGCAATATTTATTGCAATCAGCAACTGGAACATGTTATTATCAATATGTTGCGTTATTAAGCATGTTGCAATCTAAAAATCAGACTGACTCATATTCTTTCGAGGTTAGTCACTTAAGCCTTAAATAACTGAAGTGGTTTGGGATTTTTATTTAGACCACCCGAAAGGGGTAATCTTTATTACTAATATAACTCACCACTTGGAAAGAAAGATATCCATAGTGGCCTCGGAGGTCGGGCCACAATAAACATCAGCATGATCAGCACCACGACCAGAGGATGACCCAGAACCTTGAAGTACTCCCTATAGGTGGACAGTTTGACGGATCCCCTATGCTGCTGCTCCTTGAACTGCTGTTCGATCTCATGCCGATCGAGGTGCTCCTCTGGGGACAACGATTTCCTTGGTTCCGGTCCTCGTAAACACTGTCCGTTCGCATGGCCCGCAACTTGCCACCTCGACATCATTGGCCACCGACATCCGGAATCTTATGAGCTTCTTTAGGGCATCGTAATGCCCCTGAACAGAGATCCGTCCACCTTCGAGCAAGACCAAATGATCCACATGTCGCAGCAACTGAACCCGATGAGTGACCAGGATGCGGATTTTGTTGGACAAAAACTCATTGAGACATCGATCCAGGAGCATCTTACTCATATGCGAATCGACGGCGGACAGGGGATCGTCCAGAAGGTATATATCTGCTTTCCGGTAAACAGCCCGAGCAAGACTAACTCGAGCTTTCTGACCACCACTCAGACTGGCACCACCTTCACCCACTCTGGTGTTATCACCCAAAGGTAGCTGTTCCACATCCCTGTCAAGGTGACAGACCCGCAGGACTCCAAATAACGCTGCTCATCGTAGGGTTCCGTAAAGAGGATGTTTTCCCGCAGGCTACCTCGAAGTAACCAGGGTTCTTGAGGGCATAGCTGAGGACACCATTCAGATCCACACTGCCACTGATAATATCCAGTTCCCCCAGGATCACTTGGAGTAGAGTGCTCTTTCCAGCACCCACTGTACCAACGATACCCACGAATTGCTGATCCGTGGCCTGGAAACTCACATCCTCTACGTGGCGCTGGCGTTTCTCCTGATCCGCCTTATCCCAACTGGCCGTGAGTTCGTGTACCGTAATACTCTTGGCTTCAGCTTTGGGTTGTGAGTACGTCCCTGGAAGTTACCATGCTCCGGGTTATCTTCCGCCTCCTTGAAGTTGTGCACTCCACCATCAGCGGGATTCTCGTGCTGGAAGAGGAAGTCCTTTACTCGATTGGCCACCACAAAGGTCTCGACCCACATGTTGATGGCCAGGGGCCAGGAGTGCAGCAGGGAATCATTGAGATGATCATAGTAGCTAGCCACTATGAAGACCTTTTGGGAGGTGACTATGTCACCGGTGAATACATAGGTAACCAGGGAAACGAAGAGGGATAGCTTGGATATCATGCCGGTGCACTGCAGTCCAGCATAAATGTAGGTGGAACCCTTTATGGAGTCCATCTCCTCCTTCCTCACTTTGCCGATTAGTTTAGCAAACGACTTCTCCCAGGCATACATCTTGATCAGCTGCATCGCTGCGATAATCTCGTTCATCAGCTTCACTCTCTCATCGCCCACATCCGCCGAACTCCGTTTATACCGGGCTATAGCTCGAGCGGCCCAAGCTTGGAGTGGGATGAAGGCTATAATGGTTCCCAATCCCACCACTGCCGGCCATCCAATCAGTTGGTATATGATATAAACGAAGACCACGCCCTCCAGGGGTCCTCGCCACAGTTCGTGGAAGCAGTAGAAGGACTCGTTGAAGTGGGCAGATCGGTGCCATCAAAGATATGGCATATCCACTCACTCCACTGTTATCCGCTGCCACTGAAACCCGAAGGAACTTCCGGTAGACAAGACCGCACAGGCCACCGGACGCGGGAACCCACTTGGAACAGGTACTTCATGAAGGGGTGAAAAAGAGTCCCGAGAGCAGGGAGCAGAGCACCACACCCATGGCGTACAGGTAAGCCGAGTGTTTCGTGACATTTTCCGTGCTCTCCGAGAAAAAGGAGACCAAACCACCCAGCATTAAGGGCTGCGTTGTGCTGGGGGATAAATATAATGAAGAATTAGTTCCCAAAATGGGTTGGTTAACTAAAAAACTGTTTTGGGAGTAGTTATTTTTCCGTCGGTATTTTAGTACCAAGCTCAATATTCTTCACATTTTTCCAAATACTTACTGCACGCAATGGCCATGATGGAGTACACTATGCTTGCAGGAACAAAGCTCCATCCGTAGGCCTTGAATATCATGCGCAGGACGTTGGGCTTGGGTCGCTTGAGCTCCTGCTCCCAGTGGCCGAGCAGGAAGGCGGAGACCTGGGTACTCTCCAAGCTGGGCTCGGGGGCATACAGATCCGAGGGATCGAGACACCGGCGCAGACCCTTAACGACAATCTCCCGCGTCCAGCTGAAGGATAAAGGAGCACAGTGCAGGTGGTCGAATTATTGACGGTCATGACAGGTGTCGCCGGGCTATCGCGGATTCTTTTATCGCTTTTCAAAGGAATCAAACGGATCCACTCGCGCCGTAAATTCCGAATGACGGCCAAGGTGCCGTGGCCATAAATCTCAGGGTGGGCAGTCCGTCAGCTGGACAGCTCTGTATCTTATCAGCAGGACTTCAAGAGGGGTCAGCTCGCGAAATTAGTTAACTTGAATAGAACGGAGCGCTCTCGCGAAGTTTTCACCGCAATTTTAGAAACATGACGTAGTACGATTTCAATATTACGTATACGCAGGAATGGCACACGTTTCTCACTCACATAAAGAACCATTTGGAAAGGAAGTTGGCCTTTGTCACCGGATTTGGCTTTCGCTCCTCATGAACCGCACTCATTATTTGTATATATACACTTGACCACTGCAGGCATATAGTATAGTATGGCGATCCCGCGTATAAATATCACATATATGTATGTTAGATCCTTGACACGACTCAAGGCACTCGCGTGTGGTTCTTGCGCCGCTCCACTCGTCACTGACTGCTGCCCGTCCGGAGCTCTTTAATTTTAACTAACCACTAGCCACTACGCCGTTCTCGGGAATCATCGCTATAAATCAATGATCCGCCCTATCGGCCAGCGGCAGCGTAGTTTTATCTTAATGCCCAGTGACACCAGCCATCACCCATCAGCCATCAGCCGACATCGGAGCAAAAAACCGCAGCAGACGCTGCAACAACTCCGGGAAACGATTTTTTGGCTAAGTGGGTTTTACTGTTTCGCCGTTGTTTACGAGAGTTTCGGGCACGCGGACGGGACATCCCGGTGGGCAGTGAGGTGGGGGGCAGCGGGCCACGTTGGACACCTCTCCAGTATCTTATCGTAAGCACAGCTACCGTGTTGACTTACTTTGATTACACTTTTCAGCAATTGACAATTTTAATTGGAGCTGCAAAAGGTTCATCCTTATCGACCCACACACGATTCACACGGATCTTGACAGGCACGGGCAAGACATTAGTATTTACTCCAAGTTCTCGTATCATTATAAAAAGTGAATTGGTATGGTTTGATATATTAAACTTATTATAATCTTATTTAAAAAATTGTTTATAGATTGTAAAGTAAATGTAATATGTATCAAACAATCATGACCATAAAAGGGTTAATGTACCGCTTATAGCTTGTTGAAGATCAAAGGCGACAACCGCCAAAATGAAATTAAAACCACTTCACTCTTTAGTAATAATTCTCAGGCACTTTATTGAGATTGTACGTATCTATAAGTACGATGTTGTAATCCTACATTAGCTACATATTTTAAAAAAGTACCTAAATAAACTATTTGTCTTCGTTTGATTGAACTTGCTCTGATTTGTGCACAGCGTTTACGAATTGCAATTGAACACATGACGTACAAAACATAGGTGATACACATAGAGTACTCGGTACACTACATAAATTCGTGGCGATAAACAAGCTTACAAGTATTCCGTAAGTACAAGGCAATAGGTAATTCGTTAGCGTTAAGTACGATTGTGTTATGTACATAATACTTTCAGTTCTTATGATCTAACCCTTAAGCAAGTCTACAAGTAGGTGAGTGTGCGTCTCAATCACTGGGACCTCTCCTCCATGGCCAGTGAGATGTTAAGATCCTCGGCAGCCGTATCATCTCCCAAGATTTGTTTGCTGTAGCTCTGCTCAGCCGCCTGTTGCAGTGCGGAGGAGGTGGCCGCTCCAGTGTTGTCCACCAATTGACGAAGGTATCCTCCAGGTCGCTGCAGCAGCTCGTAGGGATGTCCCAGCTCCCTAACCTCGCCGGCATCCATGACCAGTACTCGGTCACTGTCCATCACGGTGTGCAGTCGATGGGCTATTGTCAAAACAGTACAGTGCGCGAACTTTGAGCGGATCGTCTGCTGGATAAGCTTGTCGGTTCTGCAATAAGGGAACAAATTTGTTAGCATAAATGATAAATCTTGGTTACTTCTTGGTTACTTACTCTGGATCAACGTTGGCTGTGGCCTCGTCCATAATCAGTATTTTATTGTGCCTCAGAATGGCTCTCGCCAGGCACACCAACTGCCTCTGACCGACACTAAAGTTCGAGCCTCCATCGTACATGCGACAGTTGAGTCCACCAATCAAGGTGGACACATAGGAACGTAGCTCCACATCGCCCAGAGCCTTCCACATCTCCTCATCCGAACGCTCGTCCATAGGATCAAGATTGTAACGCAAAGTGCCAGAAAACAGAACCGGATCTTGCGGTATAATGGAAACCTGACTACGCAGATCGTGTAGGCCAATATGCTCAATGTCCACATCGTCGATTCGGATCATGCCCTCGTTGCAGGCCAAACGGAAGATGGACTGGATGATGGACGATTTTCCGGCGCCAGTGCGGCCCACAATGCCGATCTTCTCGCGCGACTCGATAGTGAAGTTCAGATCCCTCAGCACAGGTGCCTCCTTGGGTGAATAGCGCAGCTTAAAGTTGATGAACTCGATGCGTCCCTTGCTGGGCCACTCGGTCTTCGGCTTGAACTTCTCCGGCGTCTCCAACGGCGCCTCCGACGGCTGCTCCGTGTACTCCAGCACTCGCTCAACGCTGGTCATTTGATTCTCCAGCTCCGCCGTCTGTCGCATGCCCCACTGGCACATGCCCGTCATCGTGGTGGAGTGCAAAATGGCTAAGCCCACGTCGCCGCTGTCGAACTCGTTTTTCAGAAGCAGGAAACTGAAGGTTACCGCCGTCATGTAAACGATGCACAGCACGTCCGACCACAGGGCAAAGGCACGGGTGCAGGAAAGGAAGAGGAACCAGGCGAGGTGTTGGTGTTCTGGTATTCATGGAACTCCAGCTCCAGGGCGCTTTGGGCCTGCAAAGCTCTAATGGTGGTAAGACCCTGGAAGGTTTGGTTTGTCAGCGAGAAAACCGGACTGCGAGCTGTAAGAAAGATATACAGGGCTTAATTATGTCTTAAATTTTCATTAAAAGTTAATGCTGTTTAAAACTAATTTGTAGTCATTCGATAGAGGATAAATAGCCAAAGTTAAGGAAAGTCACGATCGTAAAAACTGTTCATAAACTGTTGTTCCCAAATATATGTATATGAATACTAACTTCAATTAGTTACAAATTCTATTAGAAGTTAAGGAACGTGACAATTTCTAGATTCCCCAAATTACGAGTATTTTGACTTACATATGGATTCCAAGCGCTTTACACTGCGACTGGTATTTACATAGAGATAGCGTATCATGCCCAGAATGGAACCAATAATGGCAGCCGGAACCAATAGCCAATAGTTGGCAATGGCCACAATGATTACTACGCCGGAAACATCGATAATGAAGGCCAGGCAATCTAGCATTGTGTGCGGCAAATCAGTGTCCACAGTGCGTATATCCTTGGAGAAGCGATTCAAAATTCGTCCGGATGAGTTCGTGTTGAAGAAGTACATGCTGGCTCGGGTGATTCCCCTGAAGAGTCTGTCGTGCAAATGCAGCGAGATGCGCAAGCACATCTTAAAGAAGCCAAAGGTGCGGATGAGGTACACGATCAGCGTGGCGCCCAGTATGGTGGCATAGAACAGGACGAGCTCCTGACGGACGGCAGCCTGAATGTCGCCGGCTGCTAAGGGTGCGATAGAAGATCTGTGACGTTAAGAGGCAGCGTGTCGTTGACGGGCGTCGTATCATTTTCTTTCAGCAGGGTGGTAGTGCTATTAGCAGATATTTGTTCTTCCCAAATAACCCTGAAAATAAATGTTTCAATTAACATACTAACAAAATAGTTAACAAAATTGCTTACCATCTGGACAAGAAGTAATCCACTCCGGTAAGCATAACTCTGGCGCAGACGAACAGCGAGATAATTATGCCCAGCAGGAAGGTGCTATCCAAGGCCTTGATGTACGAGGCGTAGACGTGCATTTTAATGGAGCCCACGGTCTGTTGCTCCTGGTTGACCTCCTCCACCTGCTCGTCCGGACGAAGCAGTGGGTTGTGCTGGTGTTCCATGCTTTTCTCGGAATCGCTACGCGACAGAAAACTGCTCACACTGTGTGTGTCGATGCCACTCTCGTCGTGCTGCGTCTGCTCGAGAAACTGGAACTGGCGGGAGCGCTGCAACTGCTGGTAGCTGCCCTGGGCAACAATCTTTCCGGAGCCCATCAGCAGCAGGTGCTCGACATCGAACAGATACTGCACCTGATGGGTGACCAGAATTCGTATCTTGTTGGACAGAAAGTCGCGTATGCATCGATCAAAGATGTGCTTGCCCACATGGGTATCCACAGCGGAGAGTGGGTCATCCAGAAGATATATATCCGCCTTGCGGTAGACTGCTCGAGCTAAACTCACTCGGGCCTTTTGACCACCACTGAGACTCACTCCGCGCTCTCCAACGACGGTCAAATCTCCGCGAGGCAGTAGTTCCATATCCCGTTCTAATCCACAAACCTTCACCACCTTCTTGTACCGCCTCTCGTTGTAGTCCTCCACAAAGACGATGTTATCGCGAATGGTTCCCTCGAAGACCCAGCTTTCCTGGGAAGCATACGAGATCTTGCCATGTACCATGGCCTCGCCCTTATCGATTCCCACTTCGCCCAGCAGGACATTCAGGAAGCTGGATTTTCCAGCACCCACGGGTCCTACGACAGCAGTCAGCATATGATCTTGTATATCTGTGCTGAAGTCCTCAATCGCACAGTTGGCTTGGCCATCATTGGCGTCCCATGAAGCAGATACATTTTTCAGCACCACACATTTTTTCGTTGCCTCCGGATCGTAATCCCTCAGGCGGTTGTGGTGCACTTGGCCATTGGACAACAGCGAGCCATTCAGCTCAACGTTCTTCTGTTTGTCCTTCTTGGAGACTTTACGCTTATTTTTGACGGTTTGCTGATTGGCTTCCAGGTTTATGGGAACCTCTGCTCTGTCCCCGTCCAGCAGGAATTCCTTGCAACGCTTCGCCGAAACCAGAGCCTCGGCAATAAAGGTAATGGACATGGGCCAAAACGTAACCATCGAATCGTTGAGCATGTTGAAATAGGATGACACCGTGTACACCTTTTGGGCTGTTAGGGGATCACCGAGGTAAACATAGGAGCACAGGGCCAGGAACACAGACAGCGGCGATATCATGGAGGTGCAACCGAGGGCAGCATGGATGTAGGCAGTGCCCCGGATGGCCTTCACCTCTTTGAGTCGCACCTCTGCAATGACCCTGGCAAAGCTCTTCTCCCACGCATACATCTTGATCACTTGGATGCCCTGGATAATCTCGTTCATAAGCTTTACTCGCATATCCGTTCGCTCCGCCGTCATTTGGCGATAGTATGCCGCTTTCTTGGCTGCCCACGCTTGCAGAGGGATAAAGCTGAGCATGAAAGACACGCCGATCACAGCCGATATTCCAATTTCCCGGTACATGAGGAAGCCAATCAGGATGGACTCCATCGGTCCCTTCCACGTATCGTGCAGGAAACAGAGCGCCACATCGAAGCGGCCAAGATCATTGGACAGAATATTTATGGCTCTCCCTCGGAGACCATCGTTACTACTGCTTTTGGACACCTGCAGTACCTTGCGATAGATGAGTCCCGAGAGGGCCAGACGCAGCTTGGTGCCCACTTGGAAGATGTAGAAGATGAAGGGGTGGAATGTTATCACAGGCACTAGCATGCAAATCACAATTCCCATGGCGAACAGATACGCTGTCCGCTCACTGATATCCGTCTGATTTGTGGCAAAGTAACCGACCAGACCACCCAGGAATAGGGGCATGAGAGATCTGAAGAAAAAGTCAATGGGATTAGCTAATCCGTTGCATTAAACGCAGTTTCTACCTACTTGCAAATCGTTTCGCTTATGGAGAAGGCCAGACCCATGGGGAGGAAAATCTTGCCGTATGCTCGGAGGATCATCCTCACCACGCTGGGATTACTTCGCTTCAGCTCATCGTCCCACAGCTCTGCAAATTTATTAGTCACCCTTTCGCTATCCAGGGTTTTCTGTGCTGATACAGCTCCTCGTCCGTCAGCGGACCCTGGAGGCCCCGTTTGAAAAGATCTCGCATCCACCTGAAAGGGTTTAGATAATGGGTAAATTTAGATAAGTTTATAACAGTTAACAATGTAGTCCTAACGAA